ATAGTGATACCACCTCAGAAACCCAAGAAGGGGTCACTATGAGTTGGATCTGACTCCACGGCAGTGAGTTTGGTTTTTGGTTTGGAGTCTATTAAGTGTGGAATAGCATTATGAAAAAGTTTGAAATATGAGAATTACCAAAATATGACAGAGACACAAAGTGAGCACATGCTGTTGGAAAATGGCATCGATACGACTTGCTTGATGCAGGGTTGCCTCCACCCTTCAATTTATAAAAACACAGTATCTGCAAAGCACAGTAAGTGAAGCACAATAAAATGAGGTATGCCTGCACTGAAAGAAAAGGGTGTGAGGTAGGGATCTCTTCCTTATTTTCAATTTATTTGCCCTTACAGAAGTCCCTAGGTGGCACAATCACATACTTGACTACTAAACGAAAGGTTGGTAGTTTGAATGCACCTAGAGGCTTCTCAGAAGAAAGTCCTGGCAACCTGTTTCTGAAAGGTCACACCCCATGTGATGGTTCTTCCGAAAGGTCACACACCATGGGATAGTTCTGCTCTGCACACCTGTGGTTGCTGTGAGTCAGAATCAATTCAACAGCAACTGGGTGTTTTTTGTTTTGTTTTGTTTTGTTTCACTTTATTTGCCTTTACAGTGCAGAAAGAATGAAAAAATGAAGGGTACCCACTTATTTCTGTGCTTAGGGTCAGCCAATTCAGACCTCTGCACAGCAGCCTCACCTGCCTCAGCCAGGCAACCGTTTCTATTTCCCCTCTTCTGCTGTGCTCAACAGGAGCTCTGGTGGGGTTGTGGGTAAGGTGTTTAGCTGCTAACCCATGAAGTTCAGCTGTTCAAATCCACCAGCTGAACCATGGGAGGAAGATGAGGCAACCTTCTTCCATAAAGATTTACAGCCTTGGAAACCCAATGGGGGTCATTATGAGTCAGAATTGACTTGATGGCAATGGGTGGGCCATGCTCAAATGAACAATTGGTGAACCTGGACCCAAAATGAACTTTTATCATTTAAAATCCCCTGCTGCATTTAGAAGAGTGATATTAGAGACAGTAATTTATCTTTTAAAAACAAGTCTGTGAGTTTATTGTGGGCATAGTACCAG